GGTATGAATACTTATGTAAATGGATTATGTCAGTCTTAATTAATTTACAAAACACTCCAAAAACCCGTTTTCACTTTGTCATTGCGGAATATTGTGTGTAGATTGATGACGGAGGAGGCTAAAATTTAACATAGTGAGGTGAAGGAAAACAGACTTTTGAAAATTATCAGGGCATCTTTAATTATTCTTGCAAGAAGTAGCACACAACAGATACTCAAGGGTGTCTTTGCAGTAAGCTCAAAGGAGTGAAACGTCTCGAGCTACTTATACTATTCTTTGCAGGTTTGTTGCTCTTTGTTCTGCCAGGCAAACATTTGTCCCCTCCAAGTGTGGGGGTCAGGTCACAATGTATGTTTTCTTATCAGGAGATTGCCTATGTCCTAACTTCCCAACCTAAAGAGCAATAAACTTTTACGAGCAGTTTCCTGAGTTCTTTAAGCTAAAGAATATCATTTTACAATGACTGCATATTTGTTCAGAGTAAACATTAGTTACGCACAAGAAGGAAAGCTATGTCCAGTATTTTTCCATCACTAAGTCAGAGCTGCAGGCCTGCTTTGACTGGACAGACTGAAGTTTATTTGAGACTGCAGCTACAGGCCTGGATGAACTCACTGACACTGTCACATCTTATATCAGCCTTTGTGAGGATGTCTGCATGCCAAAAAATTCCTTCTGCACATACAACAACAACAAGCCCTGGTTTACAGCCAGACTCAGGCAGCTTCGTCATGCCAAAGAGGAGGCTTACAGAAGTGGGGACAGGACTCTGTACAGCTAGGCCAGGAACACACTAACAAAGAAGATCAAAGCAGCAAAGAGGAGCTACTCTGAAAAGCTGAAAGCTCAGGTTTCAGCTAACGACCCCTCGTCTGTGTGGGGGAGCCTGAAAAGCATCACTGACTATAGGAAACCAACCCCCCCTGCTGTGGAGGACCATTAACTAGCAGACAACTTGAATGTGTTCTACTGCAGGTTTGACAAACAACACTCCTCCCCCAACAATCCCCATCCTTCCCTCCAGCCCCCCCCACCTCTAACAATCTGTGAACAGGATGTGCATGGCCTCTTTTAAAAACAAAGGATCAGAAAGGCACCAGGCCCAGATGGTGTAACCCCCTATTGCATGAAAGTAAAGTGTGTGCTGATCAGCTGCCCCCCATCTTCACACTCATCTTCAACAGGTCACTGGAGCTGTGTGAAGTCCCCTACTGCTTCAAACGCTCCAACATCATTCCAGTCCCCAAGAAAAGCCCCATCAGTGGGCTGAGCGACTACAGAACTGTCGCCCTGACATCTGTAGCTATGAAGTCCTTTGAAAGACTGGTGTTGGCCCACCTGAAGGACATTGTAGACCCCCTGCAGTTCACCTACTGGGCAAACAGGTCAGTGGATGATGCAGTGAACATGGCACTGCATTACATCCTGCAACACCTCGACTACCCAGGAAGTGGAGGTGACATTGGACTTCAGGAAGAGCCCCCCTACCTTACCCCCAATCACCATACTTGGCAGCACTGTATCAGCAATAAAGTCCTACAAGTTCTTAGGTTCCACTGTGTCCCAGGATCTGAAGTGGATGTCCAACATCAGAACCATCAAGAAGGCACAGCCCCACCTCTAACAATCTGTGCACAGGATGTGCATGGCCTCTTTTAAAAACAAAGGATCAGAAAGGCACCAGGCCCAGATGGTGTAACCCCCTATTGCATGAAAGTTGGCCCCCATCTTCACACTCATCTTCAACAGGTCACTGGAGCTGTGTGAAGTCCCCTACTGCTTCAAACGCTCCAACATCATTCCAGTCCCCAAGAAAAGCCCCATCAGTGGGCTGAGCGACTACAGAACTGTCGCCCTGACATCTGTAGCTATGAAGTCCTTTGAAAGACTGGTGTTGGCCCACCTGAAGGACATTGTAGACCCCCTGCAGTTCACCTACTGGGCAAACAGGTCAGTGGATGATGCAGTGAACATGGCACTGCATTACATCCTGCAACACCTCGACTACCCAGGAAGTGGAGGTGACATTGGACTTCAGGAAGAGCCCCCCTACCTTACCCCCAATCACCATACTTGGCAGCACTGTATCAGCAATAAAGTCCTACAAGTTCTTAGGTTCCACTGTGTCCCAGGATCTGAAGTGGATGTCCAACATCAGAACCATCAAGAAGGCACAGCAGAGGATGTACCTCCTGTGCCAGCTCAGGAAGTTCATCCTGCCCCAGGAGCTGCTAATACAGTTGTACAGAGGAATCATTGAGTCTGTTCTCTGCACCCCCATCACTGTCTGGTTTGTCTCAGCAACCAAACAGTACAAGTACAGGCTTCAGCGGACAGTCAGGTCTGCAGAAAAGGTCTTTGGTGTGAGCCTGCCCTCCATGGAGGACCTGTACACCTCACAGGCCAAAAGGAGGGCGGAAAGGATCACTGCAGACCCCTCACACCCCGGACACAATCTGAACTCCTCCCCTCTGGACGGCATTACAGGTCACTGTGCACCAAGACAACCAGGCACAGGGACAGTTTCTTCCCCCAGGCCATCACTCTGATGAACACTTAACCA